ACGAAGTGTTCCAGGCGATCCTGAATCTAGACAGAGGAAGAGAGAGAAGAATCTCGTTGGATTCAGCAACTTCACATGATAAGAAAGCGAGCATTGGGAAAGGGCGTACATGATAGTCGTTGAGGTCTTGTGCCCTTGCGTAGATCGAGTTTATGGTTTGCGAGACCTGTATTTCTTTATCGAGAGCCATTTGTAGTGCCATCGCTGGTGTCTGCCATGTGGTAGGGGTGGTAAGTGGAATCTGGGGAGAAACGAACAAGCAGATGGAAGTGGACAATAGCAGGAGTGGGATAATAAGTATAAAATATTAGTAAAACTCTGGCAAATTCTTCTGCCTAGAGTGAAGTCATGACTCTCGAAGCTAAATCAGCATTTCTTAGCTGCCAGATCACTGAACAATTAATTCAACCAATTCAAATCATTCGTAAGCATTGAAAGGATTCAAGCATTCTGGACCCATCCATCCATCCAACAGTACCTCGACTTTCTTCAGTGTAACTGTACCCATTCGTTTGTTAATGATCTCGGTGAGTTCATGAGCATGATGACGTTCCTCATCAGCCGCTTTGCGGAAGTATTTTGAAAATCCGAAGAGGGCCTTGTCACTCCTGGCGAAGTAGGCTGCCTATAGCCAAAAAAGTGGACAAAGAGAAGGAAGAATACTTGAAGTTCAAAGGGAATCCCCAAAAAACCGCAAACCGACCCTACCGTAAGTGCAAAACACCACTTATAAACTTTGTAATCAAACGAATTTGTTGCCACAATACACTTCCTCTAGATGGCGACATCGACAGCCATTCATCTCGTTCTTTGTTGACGCTCTGACGTCTGTTGCCAAGATGTTCGCATGGTTCACAAAAAAAAGGTACCAAGACGTCATAATTTTCGTAAGCAATAACAGAGGTAAAAACCGCATGTAAGAGGAGAGAAAAGGGTAGGCACCATGACCGTATAAAGAGGAGCAAATGAGGAGTTTGGCGGATGCGTTCACATCTCCACGCCGCCTCCTTCAACCCTATCGCATTTACACCCTAGCATAGGGCCTATTGATAATATCGTTTTATGCGATGTTATCTTATCGCTTGTTGGTTTCGTGTGGCCCAAGCGTGTCAGCTGGACGATTTGAAGGTCTCCATATCTCTTTATCAAATTATGCCACTCGTGTTGTGCGCTATCACTTTCTAGTAATTAAGAAGGTCCCTACCCGAAAGGGTGGGAGTGTGAGGGGCTTTAACGATGCTGCAACGCTCACACCTCGTAGATGCCAACTCCTGCAGGTGAAGGCAGAAAATCCCGCTAGGCTTTATCACACAGGAGTGTCAAATGCAATCCGATGGAGAGTGCTAATGAATAGGCAAATCAGTAGACTCACCAACTGCTCATAGAGATAGAACGCCTCGTATTCAAGACTGATTTGATCATTGAGGTCCTTCTCCATCTCTACTGCCAGAGCATAGGAAGGAGTGGTGGCGACTTGGACTTCGGCAAAACTGATAGGAATAACTGGATGGAAAAAAGCATTTTTACATCTCTAAATAGCACAATACTTCATTCCATGGCATGGCAATTGGGTGGGTACGATTAAAGAGAACCGCATCGCATTGGAGCCACTAAAAACTTCTTGACTGTTGTGGTGAACAATTTTGTAGCACTGGTATCGATAAAAGTTGGAAACGGATGTTTACCTAATACCAGTGAACACGGATGGCACTGATCAGCGATAAATAAAGTGATGTGAGTGGCGTTCGCGAATTAGCAAGTGGCTGTTGTAATTTTTTTATTTTTAAGAATGAATTTCTGCCCTGTTGGTGGCTTTTTGCTCACCCGACCACACATTTATGAGTTTCGTCAGTCTGTAAGCTTATCGATTAGACATCTGGAAGGTTAATGAGCCCCGACTAATCAATACAAAGGGCGTATCTATTAGCAATAATTAATCCAACAAGCTTTTAAACAAAAAGACAAAGGAATAGCTTTTAAAAGCAACTACAACTACAAATTTAAACAGACGAAATTGAGCTTGACATTGTGTGGTGGGAATAAAAAGACATCCATCAAATCATGACGGTTTTGCAAGATTTTTTTGGCATTTATTGTAATATTTGCATATAAAGAAGGAAGGGAGGAAAAAATTTAAAAAATGGAACTTACCTAAGGATAAAAGGACAGCTATGACGTATGACTCCATTTGTTGGAGAACGATTTGGTCAAAAAACAGTGCCTGCAATGCCTTATATACTCTCGCAACCGCGGTGCAGACTAGTCCGATTGGTTTGTTTGTGCGTGTTTTAACTTTCCACCGTTTTTGTGCACCGTGTGTGAACTTTAACAGAGGAAGTGATGTGAATAAGTAAATGTTTATCCTTGCTACACTACGTGGTGGAGATAAGAAGATCTAGGAGCATTCAAGTGGGAGTCCCCTTTTTCCGCATTTTGTAAATGTGCAGAGGGATTTGCGATAGCAGAGGTCTTATCGTCCCCACTATCCCGTCTAGGGGATTAGAATGGGTGTGCTGCATCGCTTAGGCAAAACTCAAAGGAGTGCACGAAGTCCCCTCACCTAACGCCCCTGCTTAAGGTCAGTTCGGTTGGGAACTTGACAGGATCCAAGCCGTCCCACATTACTACCGCGTTTATAGCTCATATGTCATGACCATGTTGGCATGAGAGGAGTACAAGTATCATCGCCAGAGTACCGAAAGCCCTGTGTTAGCATTTCTTTAGATTAGATGATCCGATAATAGAGTGCCTTGATCACCCATCAGGAGAAGCCCATACTCTAGATAACAAATGAAGGAGAATTCAGGAAGTATCCTAATGGATCAGGCAAGCTGTAGGATAGGGAACAAGGGTTTCAAAAGATTTAGAAGTCTTTCTTTCCTCGCCCCCCACCTCCCCTAAGAGCTACCTTGGAGTCACAATTTCACACTCGCTGGAATGTTGAAATATAGATGCTGAAAAGGTTGCGCAATCACCGAATTTTATTTCTCAAAATGCAAATGCTGTAGCGCTTAAATCAAATTTCCTCTAGCCTTCGTCAAAAAGTTATTTGCTTCCTCCGTCCATTTTTCGCCGCGGATGGATGGTTGGATAAAGTGATGGATGGAACGACGTCTTGGTAGATTGATTGATAGATCTGTGATCGAATGATGGCTGCTAACTAGGTGGGTGAATGAGATATTTATTGTAGATGAATATCTCGATAAATAGATTTACAAAAATTTAGTAGATCGACTAGCTGGTAGGCAGATAGAGCGGATATTCGAGAACTGATTATAACTATAAGTAAATTCCCTTCATTATTTTAAAGTCTAATTCTTCAAATCGACGCCGTTTGGCCTTACATGTGACAAAGAAGCACACACCTACCGTCCAACTCGTCCATCCTCAAAGCCTACCTGTTTAAGGTGCTCCGTTTACTTATCCACTTAATCATGACCTGTCAAATACCAAGGCGCTAGTCGTCAGGCCGCCAGGACAGTCTAAGTAATGAATGTGCGCAGACCTCGACGAAGCAGACAAGGCCAACTTTCGGGCTCGAGAGAGATCAAAGCGCGTCGCGGCGACCACCGTGATAACAGATAGTCTGGTGTAGTCACAGTGCCGGTAACAATGAAAAACTTTGAAATATATCATCAGAAAGAAAAGGCAACAGATGATAGAAAAACTTGACAATATAGTCTTATTTAGAAGGTGCTCTTTCATCTCCCCAAGGCAACGTTGTTCGGCTAAAGAGCAAATTTTACCGGAACTATGGAATTTGATGAAAATGTGTGAAAAGTAGCTTAAAGTCCTGTAAGAGTGCGAAGGAAAGGTCAAAGTCTTTGCAAGAACAAATGCAACACCAGTTGAAATTTTTAAAAAAGTTGTTAGTTTGTTTTTTGGTCAGCAGATTACAATTCCATCCAAAATATACGAAACTTCTGTGTTTTTGCCAATTGATGTGGTTACCACTACATTGACAAACAACTACGCGATTCTGGAAAAAATTCATCGTAAAATTATGCAGAAATCTAATTTGTTCTTCTGCTGAGTACTTAAGTTGTGTGTTTCTTAAAAATTTAACATCGCGTTCGAACTCTACTGGCCTAATGTCATCATTCAATGACTGGATGTGAAAAGCATGTAGTAATTCGTATAAAATAAACCAAGTCCAGTGCAGTTTACTGTTTGTTCATTGTGTTTATGCTGTAGAAACAGAAATGACGCAATTGGTTGAAAAATCCTGGTTCTGCTATCCATCCCCATAAAACATCGGTAAACATACTGGGACTGGTCGGGAAAAAAGAATCTGAGAAATAGAGGTATAAGTATCGGATAGTCTAATCCTTTTCGAAGGCCTTGCAGATCGGCATCGGTTCATTAAAATGCCACGCCAGTCCAGCTCACTGATTTTTTTTTATTAAAATCTACTTATCTAAAAAGTGTGTTGGAATGAATTAAGCATCTGTAATAAGGCGGTTTTCGTGGGTCATTCTTTACTTGACCCATCGGTTTTTGGGCTTTTTAGCCCTTTATCAAAATGAACATTTGCTTAAGCCAAGAACTAAGATCTCTATTTCCATTATAAAGTTAGGCAGATGTGGAAATCACTCTTGAAGAAATAGCCTAATTTGGGAGAACCTTCAGCGAAACTTGAAAGTAAGGATTATGTCGTCAATAGCAATCTAAAACCTTTTATTACATAGAGTAAGGGATTTTACTCTACCTAATTCTCCTTCTGAGCTGATTGCCTATTCAAAGAACTTCCCAGTGGCACCTTCTTGTACCACAACACGTGCATCCGCAGCTTTGGAGTCAGCATAAATCGCTTAAGCTGGAAAATCCAAATTTATGCAAAACTATCATCTCTGAAATATCGCATTTTTAGTCATTCACAAAATTTAATCATGCCTATGTAAGTTT